CTTGCTGTAACACTCTCGTTTGTATATGTTTGTATTACTGTTTTCTGTCAATATATTTGTTTAACTCAATTCCTCATTGTGTCTTTAATTCTGGCCCCTAACAAGTCCACAACAGGTAGGCATTGCGTTGGTAGGGCTGTTCATTGAACCTTTATCCGTAGCTTGTTTTTTTTTTGGCTATGGCCACACACACACACACACATATATATATATTATTATTATTATTATTACATACTAATGGATATTAGTATACGAAATAGACGTTCATTTTCATTTTTACTTTAAACAGTATGTATTACGTCTATCGGCTTACGCACTCGAGATATCTCGATAAAGAAAATCTGCTTTCCGGCAAGAAACGAACCTACGCACCCCCCCCGGTCCATAGGAGAAACCACCGTTTGATCCGTTGGACTTTGCTGCTCGGATACGAAGAACATCACCGTATAGTGTGGCTCTATTTTCATTTTTAAAGAAAGCACACACTCCTCACTAAGGTATTTTTCTCGAAAGCTCATATCTGCTCAGTTTTGTATCAGAACGTAAACAAAGCAATTTCTAAAGAATTAATGGATCTATTTTTAATCCGACATGTTTTATTACTTCAAACGTCATTATTAGTGGATGTCCGTATTTTAAATAGACGCCTTATTTTAATCTTTACTTTAAACGGTGTGTATTACGTATATCGGCCCGCGCAGTCGATAAATCTCAACAAAGAAAAAAAATTCCTTTTTTACTGGAGAGCGCATTTTTTATTGTGATTTCTCTTTTTTTTCCCCTTGTTTTTGTTGTATCGAGAATGCCTCTTGTATAAAAGAAACCTTCAAAGGTTTTATAAGCCTTTCTTTTATTAATGTTATATTTTATTCTGGGAAAACTATACGTAATTGATTACGACAATTAGTAAATAGGAATGCAGTTTCTGCAGCAGAACGGGATTTACAGACTGTGAAATTGATTGTCGAAATACATTACTATAGAGTGAACGACTTTTCAGTATACGCATGTATCAACTATGTGATGTGTATCAATTATATATGCATCGATTAGGGTATGCATCGATCAGGACTAAGACACTACAAATTTAACCTATAATTTATCATAGGATTCCATGACCACATTTTATGATATATTTGCTTTTATACGACTGGTAGTAATAGCAACAGTATTACTACTGTATTTTACCAAGTCGGTTGCAGCCGACTACATCGCCGTTCAGAGGAGTAACTCACACCAAAGGGGTCACCAGTTAACTATATCTATGTCTACTTGTTTTGACTCTCGTTAAAACCAAACCGATGTCTACGTTTTTTGACTCTCATGCAAACCAAACGTCTTTTTATAATCGGTATCACCCCATGCAAGACAGTAAAGCCACTAAAATACAATGGATTAAAGGGTGTGGAGGAATTAGGAACAGAAACATTAATAATGAGTGGAAAGAGGAAAGAGGAAAGAGTAACCAAGAGGTCAGTAGATAGCGATTGACATTGCATTTAAACTTTTGCAAATTAAAGTTAACTCGGAAGCATGGGATCAGACGAGAGTCCCACAGACGAGAGGTGCGAGAAAAGAAACTGTTAGCATAGAACTTACAATTACATCTAGCCAGCTCGACTGTAAATTGATGAGAACTCGATGCCATCCTAATGCTGCGCTTAAATTCAGGAAGTCTAGGTACCATAGCGAAGAGTTCATCTGAACGATTACCATGAAAGTATTTATAGAATAGGCATAGCGAGGCAACGTTACGGCGGTCGGAAAGGGACTGAAGCCGAGATGCCAGATCCGGACCAATAATATTGCTGATTCTTTTTTTTATTTTATCAAGGAGCTCAAGGTAAATAGCAGGGTACCGGGCCATATGTGGCAGCAATATTCCAAGCATCGACGAATGGTAGACTTATAGATAATATGTAAGAAAGATTTGTCTATATCTCTGTTATGAGGTATTATGATTATATTATTTACATTATTCGGACTGTTATCCTCATCTACATTGCCATATTCACAACGTGTCAGCCTCTATATCTCTGAGATGAGGTGTTATGATTACTCGCATTATTTACATTATTTGGACTGTTATTGAGACGGCCGAAACGTTATGAATATGGCTGAAAGGTTATGAATATGGCAATAAAGATGAGGATCTTCATTACCATATTCATAACGTTTTGGCCGTCTCAAAAATTCATACACAGATGTTCTCAAGGACACATGGCCCAGTGGTTAAAGACATTGGTTAGATCCAGTGACTAGACCCAAAGAAATGTGAGTTCAATACCAGTGGTGAACCAAAACCTGGAGAGTCGAGTTAAAGGGAAATAACTGAAACATCCGCAAGAGGCATGGCAAATGGAACTAGAACAATCTACCCCGGTGGACGAAATAAAGGTTTCTGTACGAAATTTCAATCATCTCTGAGATGAAGTATTATGATTACTTAGATTATTTACATTATTCGGACTGTTATCCTCATCTTCATGCTCATATTCACAACGTTTCGGCCATTGTACGCTCCAGCCTTCTTCGGGTGATTGGAATTTCGAATCGAACACTTTATTTCGTTCCCCGGTGTAGATTGTTCTAGTTCCACGTACCATGCCTCTTCCTGATGTATCAGTTATTTTCCTTTAAGTCAACTCTCCAAGTTTTTGGTTCACCACTACTGTGGCTTGGCACTGAACTCACAACTCTTTGAGTCTAGTCACTGAGTCTAACCGACGTCTTTATCCACTAGGCCATGTGTCCTTGAGGAAAGTAAATACAATTACAAAAAGAATAATGACATTGTTTGAAAATACTTTATCTAATAAAAAGATGAAAGTAAATACCAGTCAGAAATGAATGATAACGGCTGACAAGACTTCAGCTGGTAAAAAATGAATAACAAAAGCTGGTAATTTATTATTAAACCTCGCTGTATATAAAAAGTAAGCTAGCAGTACAGCTGAACACCAAGCAAGAAATCACAGCAGTATCGTACATTATTACAGTCATAAAACATTTCCAAAGAGAAAAAGCAGTGAAAAGAAGTTACTGTTGGGCGTAAACACAAACACAGTTTTAACATTTTCTTTCGTTTACGGTTTAGGGAAAATAAGAAGTGAAACGAAAAATTGTGGGTCCTAGAAAACAGTTGGCCTTTATTCAGTGACGATTCTCCGAAGAAATTTTTGAGTTTCGAGGAGGAGTGTTGACACCATATCTCAAGAACAGAATTTTCACTGATTATGACAATGCACGACACCAACGTAATTTCGTTTGAATAACTCATATTAGTATGGAGTCCACCTAAGTAAAAGCGACCATCTACGATACCGGGTGTTAAAGATAAAATTAGGCTATGGTTTGGGTTTTTTTTTTTTTTACGGCATATCAACCTCAATGGGTTATTTAATGCCGAAAACATTTTTAGGATAGATTCGTATGAATACAATATATATTTTTTGGTTTAGATTGGTTTGGTTTATTTTCTTTTACGGCATATCAACCTCAATGGGTTATTTAATGCTGACAAAAAATTTTATTGCTGGTAATATTTTGTTTTGTCCAAAATCTGTTTCTGGTAATATATTTCCTTCAAAATTGTATTGCTGGTAATAGTTAACTATTTGCCCATAGTTGGGACCCTAACAGGTGCTACCATCCCGGGTCAGTGGACCTGGGAACACCAGCAATTAAGAGGTGGTTCCACGCTCCTCAAAACCTCCTGATCAGAGACCTTGCTGCTGGACGTAGTTTAACGTCTTACCCAAGACACGGATGTAGTTCAACGTCTTACCCAGGATACAGATGTAGTTTAACGTCTTGCCCAGGACGCGGATGTAGTTTAATGTCTTACTCAGGACGGAAAATTAGGCTGTAGAATGTGTCAACTTCGCATATAAAGTAAGCGAGGATTTTTAGCTATTTTGGCAGTGGATAGCGCATCTTATATACTGCTAAATAGATAAGCTGATAAGGCTTGTCAGAATTTAAATACGTTTATTACCGCATATACTCGTGTTTAAGTCGGATTAATGTATAATGCGAACCCTGAATATTTTTGCATTAATTTTAATCTCCCCACCCCCGCCAAAAAAAAAGTTTGCCTGTGTATAGTGCAACTGGTCACCGAAAATGCATGATTTTTAACCTCTTCAAAAAATTACTTGTTTATAATGAAACCCCTTGTTTTTCGCGTAAAGAAACTGATCATAAAAACTCGCACGATACACGAGTATATACGGGATTTATTAAAAGAATATATAATAACGAATATCACCGACCAGTCACTCAGAAAATTCTCAAATCTTCCTCTTCTCTGTTCCGTGTCTCTTCAGGACGTGGGCGATCATGGCTCTTCTGTCTTTTGAAACTCTTAGCAATTTCTAGACTTTTTACTATCTCTCCCTGTTCTGAAAACCATTTACACAATCTCATTAGGTAGGTTATTTGCTGCTTTCCTTTGTCTCTTTGTCCCGTGAGTGTCAGATTCTCCAAACACACTATCCTCATTATGTGTCCTAGAATTGTGAACTATCTTTTTTTCTGATTCCAAATATAAGTTTCCATTTTGCCTCTATTATCCATAAAGCTTCGTCGTTGCTCCTTTGTCCAGTCCAAGCTATTCTCAACGTCCTGCGACGCCATATTTGTGGAGGTCTGTTCTCATTGAGAAAGACAAGAGAGGAAGAAGCAAAAACTCGGTCAGATGATGTTGTTAAGCAAGAGATAAAATCAAAACAGAGGAAAAACACAGTCTTTAAGAGCAGAGGAAAAAACCAGCCGTTTTAAAAGCCACCTTGACACTCGAATTATGGGCACTGACAGAGTGGCCTGAAAATCTAATTCGAGTCATGGGTCAGTTTTCCCTCCGTTAAGATAACTTTACTTGTCATCAAATAAGGCTGCGATGAGAAGACAGAGGAGTCAGAACTGAATTTGCTTAAAATAATTAGACTAATTGAATGAACCCCGCCCCAGAAGAACTTACCAATTCCTTATCAGCCGTCATGATCTCTTATTCAATAGGCTCTTTATTCTTCTTCTTCTTCTTCTTCTTCTTCTTCTTCTTCTTCTTCTTCTTCTTCTCAGTTGTCTTTTTCTGCTCATTGTCTCATTCCTTTTCTTTCTTTCTTTCTTTCTTTCATTCTTTCTTTCTTTACTTTTTTCTTCCTCTTTTTCTCCATCTTTTTTTCTTCTTTTTCCTATTCGCTTTTTTGTCTTTGTCTCCTTTATTTTGTTTCTGTTTTTCTTTTCTTCTTCTGCTTCTTCTTAGTTCTCTTTTCTCCTCTTTGTCCCTTTTCTTTCCTTTTTCTTCTTTTTCTTATTTGTCTTTTTGTCCTCTTTGTCTCTCTTCTTTTCATTCTTCTTCTTCTCCTCCTCCTTCTTCTTTTTCTTCTTCTTCTCCTTCTTCTTCTTCTTCTTCTTCTCCTACTTCTTCTTCTTCTTATTTGTCTTTTTCTTCTCTTTGTCTCCTTCATTTTCTTTTTCGTTCTCTTTTTTTGTCTTTTCTTTACTTCTATTCCCTCTTCACTTTTTTTGTCTTTCACTTCTCATTTGCCTTTTCTTGTTTTCCCTTTTTGTCCGTTTCTTAATTTTTTTCTCATTGTTTTCTTTCTTATTTAATCAAATTTCTTTTTCATTATTTCTTCATCTTCTTGTTGTTTTCTTACATTTCATTTGTATTTTTCATTAATTTTTTATACATTTTGTTAATTGCCTTTTTTTTTTCTTTCTTTCTTTGCCTGTTACTTCATAATAATAATAATAATAATAATAATAATATATATATATATATATATATATATATATATATATATATATATATATATATATATATCTTCTTTCTCTTTTTATCGCCGTTTTATGGTTTTCTTTTTACTATTTCTCTTCTTCTTCTACTTTTACTTTATTTACTTTCTTTTTCTTTCTTTCTTTCCAATCTTTCTTATTTAGAAATTTTTCATTATTTCTTTCTATCATTTTTGTTTCTTTCTTTCTTGTTTGCAAATCTTACTTTCTTTCTTTCTTTCTTATTTACAAATCTTTCTTTCTTTCTTGTTTACAAATCTTTCTTTCTTTCTTTCTTTCTTATTTACAAATCCTTCTCTATTTCTTTCTTATTTACAAATCTTTCTTTCTTTCTTTTTTTATTTACAAATTTTTCTTTCTTATTTACAAATCTTTCTTTCTTTCTTATTTACAAATCTTTCTTTCTTTCTTTCTTACTTTTTTTATTTACAAATCTTTTTTTCTTTCTTTCTTATTTACAAATCCTTCCGTCTTTCTTTCTTTCGTATTTACAAATCTTTCTTTCTTTCTTTCTTATTTACAAATCTTTCTTTCTTTCTTTCTTTCTTTCTTATTTACAAATCCTTCTTTCTTTCTTTCTTTCTTTCTTTCTTTCTTTTTTTTTTATTTTTCTTTCTTTCTTTCTTTCTTTCTTTTTATTTCCAAATTTCTTTTTGTTTGTTTTCTTTCTTTCTTTCTTTCTTTCTTCTTTTTTTTTACAAATCTTTCTTTTCTTTCTTTTCTTTCTTTCTTTCTTTTTTTTCTTTCTTTTTTCTTATTTTCTTCTTTCTTTTTTTTTTTTTCTTCTTATTTCCAAATCTTTTCTTTCTTCTTTTTTCTTTCTTTCTTTTTTCTTTTTTTTCTTTCTTTCTTTCTTTCTTTTTTTTTTTTTTCTTTTTATTTTTTTTTCTTTCTTTCTTTCTTTCTTATTTCCAAATCCTTCTTTCTTTCTTTTCTTTTCTTTCTTTCTTTTTTCTTTTTATTTCTTTCTTTTCTTTCTTTCTTTCTTTCTTTTTTTCTTTCTTTCTTTTTTTTCTTTTTTCTTTTTCTTTTCTTTTTTCTTTCTTTCTTATTTCAAATCTTTCTTTCTTTCTTTCTTTTTTTTCTTTCTTTCTTTCTTTCTTTCTTTCTTTTTTATTTATTTCTTCTTTTCTTTCTTTCTTTCTTTTTATTTACTTTCTTTTCTTTCTTTCTTTCTTTCTTTTTTTCTTTCTTTCTTTTCTTATTTCCTTTTTCCTTTTTTCTTTTTTCTTCTTTTCTTTTCTTTCTTTTTTCTTTCTTTTTTTCTTTCTTTCTTTTTTTCTTTCTTTCTTTCTTTTCTTTCTTTCTTTCTTATTTACAAATCTTTTTTCTTTTTTTTCTTTTCTTTCTTCTTTTCTTTTATTTATTTTCTTTCTTGTTTTTTTCTTTTCTTTTCAAATTTTCTTTTTCTTTCTTTCTTTCTTTTCAAATTTTTCTTTCTTTCTTATTTCTTTTTTTTCTTTCTTATTTACAAATCTTTCTTTCTTTCTTATTTTCTTCCTTCTTTCTTTTCTTTCTTTCTTATTTTTTTTTTCTTTCTTTCTTTCTTTCAAATTTTTCTTATTTCTTTCTTTTTTTTTCTTTCTTTCTTTCTTTCTTTTTCTTTCTTTCTTTCTTATTTAAATTTTTCTTTCTTTTCTTTCTTTTTTTTTTTTTACAAATTTTTCTTTCTTTCTTTCTTTCTTTTCTTTTTTTACAAATCCTTCTTTCTTTTCTTTCTTTTACAAATCCTTCTTTCTTTTCTTTTTTCTTTTTTTACAAATCTTTCTTTTCTTTCTTTTTTCTTTTCTTTTTTCTTTCTTTTTTCTTTCTTTTCTTTCTATTTTACAAATGCTTTTTTTTTCTTTCTTATTTACAAATCCTTCTTTCTTTTTTTTCTTTCTTTTTCTTTCTTATTTCTTTTTCTTTCTTTTTTTTTTCTTTCTTTTTTTCTTTTTTTATTTCTTTTTACTTTCTTTTCTTTTTTATTTCTTTCTTTCTTTTTTCTTTCTTATTTCTTTTCTTTCTTTCTTTCTTTCTTTCTTTCTTATTTACAAATCCTTCTTTCTTTCTTTCTTTCTTTCTTTCTTATTTACAAATCCTTCTTTCTTTCTTTCTTATTTACAAATCTTTCTTTCTTTCTTTCTTTCTTTTTCTTTTTTACAAATCTTTCTTTCTTTCTTTCTTTAAATTTTCTTTTTCTTTCTTTCTTTCTTATTTACAACTTTCCTTCTTTTTTTTCTTTCTTATTTACAAATCTTTCTTTTTCTTTCTTTTTTTTTTTTTTTTCTTTTTCTTTCTTTCTTATTTACAAATTTTCTTTCTTTTTTTTTTCTTTTTTATATTTTTCTTTCTTTCTTTATTTTTTTTTACAAATTTTTTTTCTTTCTTTTCTTTCTTTCTTTTTTTCTTTCTTCCTTTTTTCTTTTCTTTCTTTCTTATTTACAAATCTTTTCTTTTCTTTCTTTTTTTTTCAACTTTTTTTTTTTTTCTTTCTTTCTTATTTACAAATCTTTCTTTCTTTCTTTTTTTTTTTCTTTTTTTCTTTTCTTTTTCTTTCTTTTTTTTTTCTTTCTTATTTACTTTCTTTTCTTTTCTTTCTTTCTTATTTACTTTTTTCTTTCTTTTCTTTTTTTTTTATTTTTTTCTTTTCTTTCTTTTTTTATTTTTTTCTTTCTTTTCTTTTCTTTTTTTTATTTACAAATCCTTTCTTTCTTTTCTTTCTTATTTACAAACTTTTCTTTCTTTTTTATTTCTTCCTTTTTTCTTTCTTTCTTTCTTTCTTTTCTTTCTTTCTTATTTCTTTCTTTTCTTTCTTTTTTATTTTTCTTCTTTCTTTCTTTTCTTTTTTCTTTTTTCTTTCTTTCTTTCTTATTTTTTTTCTTTCTTTCTTTCTTTTTCTTTCTTTCTTTTCTTTTTTTCTTTCTTTCTTTCTTTTCTTATTTTTTTTCTTTTCTTTCTTTCTTATTTCAAATCTTTTTTCTTTTTTTCTTTATTTTCTTATTTTCTTTTTTCTTCTTTCTTTTTTTATTTTCTTTCTTTTTTTCTTTCTTTCTTATTTACAAATTTTTTTTCTTTCTTTCCTTTCTTTCTTTCTTTCTTTCTTATTTACAAATTTTCTTTTCTTTTTCTTTCTTTCTTATTTCTTTCTTTTTTTTTCTTTCTTATTTTTTCTTTTCTTTCTTTTTTTCTTTCTTTTTTCTTTCTTATTTTCTTTCTTTCTTTCTTTCTTTCTTATTTTCTTTCTTTCTTTTCTTTCTTTTCTTTTCTTTCTTTTTCTTTCTTTTCTTTCTTTCTTTCTTTTCTTTCTTTCTTTTTACAAATCCTTCTTTCTTTTCTTTTCTTTCTTTCTTTCTTTCTTTCTTTCTTTCTTTTTTTCTTTCTTTTTTTTCTTTTTTTTATTTTCTTTTTCTTTCTTTCTTTCTTTCTTTTCTTTCTTATTTTCATTTCTTTCTTTCTTTCAACATTTTCTTTCTTTCTTTTTTTCTTTCTTTCTTTCTTTCTTATTTTTTTTTTCTTTCTTTCTTTCTTTTTTTTCTTTTTACAAATTTTTTCTTTCTTTTTTTTCTTTCTTATTGTTTCTTTCTTTCTTTCTTTCTTTTCTTTCTTATTTTCTTTTTTCTTTCTTTCTTTTCTTTTCTTTCTTTTTTTCTTTTCTTTTCTTTTTTTCTTTCTTATTTTCTTTCTTTTTCTTTTTTTTTCTTTCTTTCTTTTTTTTTCTTTCTTATTTCTTTCTTTTTTTTTTTTTTTCTTATTTACTTCCTTTTTTCTTTCTTTCTTTTCTTTTTTTTCTTTTTTTCTTTTTTTCTTTCTTTTCTTTCTTTCTTTCTTTTTCTTATTTACAAATCCTTCTTTCTTTCTTTCTTTCTTTCTTTTACAAATCCTTTTCTTCTTTTTCTTTCTTTTTCTTTTTTCTTTCTTTCAAATTTCTTTCTTCTTGTTTTTCTTTTTTCTTTCTTTCTTTCTTTCTTTTTACAAATCTTTCTTTCTTTCTTTTTCTTTCTTTATTTTCTTTTCTTTTTTTTTTCTTTTTTTCTTTTCTTTTTTTTTTTCTTTCTTTCTTTCTTTCTTATTTACAAATCCTTCTTTCTTTCTTTCTTTCTTTCTTTTCTTTCTTTCTTTCTTTCTTATTTACAAATCCTTCTTTCTTTCTTTCTTATTTACAAATCTTTCTTTCTTTCTTTCTTATTTACAAATCTTTCTTTCTTTCTTATTTACA